AGGAAATGGGAGTGACTGCTAATGGGTATGTGGTTTCTTTTTGGGGTAATAAAAATGTTTCAGAATTAGATTGTGGTGATGGTTACACAACCTTGTGAATATACTAAAAACCACTGAATTGTATACTTCAAAAGGGTGAATTTTGTGATATGTGAATTATATTGCAATAAAATTTAAAAAAAAAAAAAAAAGAGTGGATGTGGGAGGAGTCTTCCTTTGTCCTAAACAATGAGTTCAAGGTAGACTTAAAAAGTGGCAAACTCAATAGAAGGTCTTGTCACAAGAGAAGCAGGCTAGTCCAAAGCAGATAACTGAAAGGTAATATTCAAATCTGACCAAAAAGGTAAAAAAGAAAAACACGAGTCTTACTTACCATGCTAACACATAACTTCTTATTGGGGTTCTGGAATGTAAGGAAGTTAACTTCCAGATATGTTTACAGGTTTTTTAAATGTTCTAAATTCAGTTACTTTGCCAAGAATCTTTAAAAATAAAAAGGCCTCAGAAACAGATCTTGTGAAAAGTTTTACTTGACACACAGTGAGGAAAAACTGTTAGTTGAGGGTTCCTCTCTCTGGCCTATGCATAGCCTCTTCTGGTATCAAAATGGCACTTTTGAATTTGTGAAACACTGCAAATACATGCATTGCATAAATCATTTCCCCCATCTTGAATACATACTCTTGAAGTTCTACTAAAATCTATTTTACAGCAAATCAACATTTTAAATTTATCAAGGCACATTTCTTCAAACAACTCTGCTCCAACCAAATCAACCAGTGATTTTCAAAACAATCAGCTCTATTTTGTTTCAGACAGCCCTGGTGGCTCAAAAGGTTTGTGTGCTTGCCTACTAACCTAAAGGTTGGTGGTTCAAACCCATCCTGCAGCTCTGCTTCCATAAAGATTACAACCAAGAAAACTCTATGAAGTACAGTTTTACTGTGTAACATATGGGGTCACCATGAGTCGGAAATGAACTTGACAGCAATGGGTTTGTTTTGCTTCAACGCTTATAAATGAACTCTACACAAAAAAATTACGTTTTTCTTTCTTAAAAATCAATAATAAAAATAATTCAATCTTTTTTTTATGTTTTAAGATCTTAACATACCTTGGGATCCTCATTTTAAACATTAAGAATTGGTTTAACAAACTTAACCAAATGCTGAGACTAGTATCATGAAATTATAGCATTTCTAACTTCAGTGCAAAAAATATTTCATCGTATTTTATATAAATTTCATTTATTGCTCATATTCCTCTTATCTGAAACTGAAATATTAGTTGGGGCTGTTGAGGGGGGCTCAAAAATAAAGTAGTACTAACACAGATAATGTATGACATGCGATACTAAATCTTCATTTCGAAAAAGAATCCCTATGAAACTGGTTTTAGGTTTTTTTCTCCTAAAAGAAGCATGCAATCAAAAGATGATTTACAGTTAACTGAAAGTTTCAGTTCCTCAATTTTTACAGTTCTTGAACTGCAATATATTCAGAATTAGTAATATTTTATTGCTTGTAAGGATTGATAGTGCTTATGTAAAATATTTATATTCAGCAATAAAAATGTTAGATTAAGTGTAATATTGAAGTCTACATTCAAATGACTTTTTCCTCAAAGTTGCCTCTGGAAAACAAGGTAACAAATTAAGGAACCATTTTCCAAGAAAACTAGGAATTACAAGATTTGTTTTAAATGAACCCAGAATGGTATCCACAGAGCTATATAGTCTTTAAAGGTAACAGACATTTATGATCTAAAATCCCCAACATTGCAATCAACAGAATGGATCCTTTGGGAATTATCCACTAATGAGGTCCCAAATCCATACTGCAGAGTTGAAGTTTGTTAATACTCTATGCCTGTCATGGTTTTTTTAGTACCTAACATTTCTCTGTCAGGTGAATTTTAGGATGTAAAAATACTATGTTGCCTAAACTGAAACACAGTTATAGCTATACATTCATTCAATCACCCAGCATATATATTGTGTGCCTGGCATGGCTGGTATTACGGACTGAACTGTATTCCCCCAAAATAGGTGTTGTAAATCCTGATTCCTAGTTTTGTTATGCTAATACAGCAATATTAGTGTAGAGTGTCTTTTAAATCAATCTCTTTTGAGACAAAAAAGCAGATTAAGCAAGCAAGCATGAGGGGAAGATACACACCACATGATCGACAAGGAAGCTAGGAAGAGAAGCTGAAAAGAGACAAGGACCTTCTCCCAGAGTGGACGGAGAAAGAGAGAGAAAAGTCTTCCCCTAGACCCGGTGCCCTGAATTCAGACTTCCAGCCTCCTAAACTGTGAGAAAATAGATTTCTGTTTGTTAAAGCCACCCACTTGTGGTATTTCTGTTACAGCAGCACTAGATGACTAAGACAGCTGGGCTGACAGAACATACCTATGAACAAAAGAGACCAAAAAACCCTTCCACTTTGGGGCTATGTTCTAGTGAGGGGAGACAAACAAAACATAGATAACAAAACATGTTAGAATGGAAAAAGAAAAAGTGGAGCAGGGAAGGGCAGATTCCTATTTCCTGTACTTGAATTTTCTATTTCCTGGTCGTTGACTCAATGAAGAAAAAGCAGGCAGCCTGCAGACAAGGCCATCAGGGATGAACACATGTATTTCTCCAAATAGTTTGCTTTACTTGACTTTTTTTTTTTTTTTTTTGAGAACTATTACTACTATTAGCGCCCTGGTGACGCAGCAGTTAAAGCACACAGCTGCTAACCAAACGGTCAGTTGTTCAAACCCACCAACCACTTCTCAGAAGAAAGATGTGGCAGTCTGCTTCCATAAAGATTTACAGGCTTAGAAACCCTATGGGGCAGTTCTACTCTGTCCTATAGGGTCGCTATGAGTTGGAATCGACTCGATGGCAGTGGGTTTTCTGGTTTCTGTACTACTATTAGAACTACTAAAGCGAAATTTGGGGTTCTCCACAAAACAACTACTTAAGAGCCAAACTGCAATTTATGTCACAAACGCTATCATTCTCCGGCAGTTTGTATGTGATTTTTACCCCAGTAACAATTATGAGAGATAGCAAGAGTATGAAGAGCAGTTCATAATGGCATACTTCCTTGCAACAATAAAAAATTCAGATATTAGTTGAAACAATCATCACTTAAAATGAGCCCATAGAAGGTATCTCCACAAATGGCATATTTAAATAAAAAATTCATTTGTAACATTTCAAAATATAATCACTTTATTACCATTTCATGTAATATTAATGAGACATATTCTAACTTGCAAGCTGAAAACACAAATGCAACAGAATAACTGATGTTTAAAATGTGTTTTTATTTTGAAGTCTAAGAATCCTGAGGTACTATAACTGCACCAAGAAAAGCTTAGAGAAAGTTAGCAAATTACAAAGGACTCAAGACTCAAAGGCATCTTTCCCATAAGATTTCTTAGTCCACCATAATTAAAGTATTTAATAGTTGAAATTCATGCCATTTAAGTGTACAAAGTAATTCAATAATGCATAGTAAATATGAGTGAATGGACAAACTTAAGAAAACATGAATTTTAACAAGAAATGTTATCACTGACTAAATATACTTGAACTGTTGCCAAAATACCTAATCCAAGCACATATTTAAAAACATGTGGGTTTTCCCCAAGACAAGCAAAACTTTGACACATACTACAGGCTTTTTTTCCTTGGCTATACTATACTAGACTTTCAGACCTCCATCTCACATCTTAGCGAACATTTCTAACTTAGCTTGATGTAACTTTTAAAAAACAAATTGTAAACTGAGCACAATTAGATACTCAGTGAATCAGATCTGAATTTGACACAGTCGACAGAATTTTAGAAAGGGTATGAATGAAGTTTCAAAGCTTATCATCCTGGATGTTAAGAAAGGAACATGGAACAAAAGGTGTATTTTGCCTCTTCTGCCCTTTAATTTGCGAACACCATACTTGGCTCAATAATGTTATGCCAAAGAGGAGAAAAGAGAATTTTAAATTGCTAAACTGAAAGGCTGACAGGCTCATCGAGACTTCTGTCAACCTCCCCCCCCATACACACACACTTTTTTATTAAAAAAAAAAAAAATCACAAGACTAGATTCAAATACTCTATAGACTACACCTAGATTACTCTGCTCCAAGGCCAAGGAAAATGTTTACGATTCCAAGATCCATTCAGAAGCCTGTATCTGCAATGCGTAAGCTTTTCGTTGGCAAGATCAATCAATATCAGAAAGCATGTAATGTTTAAAAGGTCAAGTCGTTGAAGGTAAAATAAATAATCAGTTCATCAAGGAATCTTTTTTGCCATGTAACTATAAAATAATGCCGATCCTACAACCCTAAAGAACCACTGCGGGGGTTCGTTCCTTGTTTCTGCCGAGGCCAGCTAAGCTCCAGCACGATCTAATTACCGTCAGAAAAACTGCACCAAGACGTCGAGGGCGGAGGAGACGAAGATTTCCAACATACACAATTTGACCTTAGGGTGCAAGAGGAGGAAAGGAGAGCAAGAAGTTTCCGCCACTGCTCGTTTGAAAACAGACGTTTAAAGGTCCCTGGGGGGAGGCGGCCAGGGGAGAAGATGCAGTGTCCGCCGCGCAGCAGTGGGGACTCGGGGTCTTGGGAAAGGGATGCGGAGGAGTGGGTTCTTATGTAAGCACACACAAAAATCGTGCGTGCACCCCCCACCCCGCTTGCTGCACCTCTGAGCACACAACGCACGTACAGAGCATCGCACCCCAGGGTGCATCCTCGACTGCGTGCGCTGCGGGGGACCGGGTACCGACCCCTCGGCCCATCTGCACGCCCCCACAAATCCACGCGCCTACCTCCTAGGATCGCAAAAGGGGCGGCTCAAGCCCTGGTGCCCCGCCCGGGACAGAACCCGGCTTTCCCAACGCGGTGCAGCGCGCGCCCGCGGCCTCCTGCGCCCCGACCAGGACCCCCGCGCCCCGACCCGGGACCCTGCGCCCGACCCGACCTGAGGACTTACCTCGCGAGGCCCAGACCCCGCCGCCGCACAGCAGCCCGACCAGCAGCA